CGTAAAAAGCATCTTCCCCCCCCCCACCAAAAAAACGAGAGAAAACAAGCACAGCACAAAAGGATATATGGTTTCAAACAAATCGCCAAGATCAAACAAAAATGGAAACCATAAACTTGTAACCTAAGTTAGCAGTCAGAACACCTGGAGATGCTTAAAAGCCTTTCCTTTTGTGAAGTGAAGACGACTGGAACAGACCTTGACCCTAAAATATCCGTAGACCCTTCTGGCTCCAAGCAAGCCTCGTGCCACCAGTAGGGACTGACTGCTTGCTAGCCCGAGAGGCAAAATTCTCTGCAAGGAAAAGGCACAGAAGCCATCTGATGTATTTTCCTATTCCTTCATTTTATTGTTGCTCTGCATTACTGTAATGTGCCACAAAACATCTATATATGTAAATATAAATGCTGGGAGGAAATACTTAATTCATAAACTAAATGACAGCGCTGGAAAAGCCTATAATTACTTCTTGCGTCAATGGTAATATAAGGGTGAGCTGCTACTGGTAGCTTTTAAGCTTTTGTTCACATTGAGCAGCAGCAAGAAATTTTCCCCCATGGGAGGAAAAAGAGGCAAGGGAAGTATACTCTGTATTAAATTAACATGCCACCTTATTTTTTCTCTGAATAAGCTACACATCTCTTAAACAGTACAGCTTGCCTTCAGTGCGAACACCCAATTGCACCGAGAGGTACCTATGCCGTGCACCCACTATATCGCTTTCCCGTCTCTAACCGGCGCTTGGCCCCAGCTGTGCTACTGAACGGCTCAACCCCAGGACGCGCTGGGACCTCGGCCCCCTCACCAGGACCCTGACTGCACCCCAGGGGTGCTCTGCGGTGAAAGAAAGTGCACATGAAATTGTAAATAAGTTCTGTATTACAACTAACGTAACGTTAGTAAAGCTCACGCCACATGACATGCATTATAAGATATGCTTCTGTTTAGTAGTTTGAGAGTCTATTGATTTGGTTATTCATCACTATCGTCCTGCTAAGCAAGAGGCAAGCCGAGTGATGAAAGGGACAGTACAACGCATTGATTTGAAAAACTGATGCGAGGCCAGCTGCACTCGTTTTGTGCAGTTACGCTTAAAGGTATTCTCGACAGCTCCTAGCGCAAGCCTGCCGTTCCTCGGCCAGAGGCCGCTCTGGAGACAGCACGCACAACCCACGGAGGAGAAAAATCTCCGCATCGCTATCAAAAGCGTTAAAAGCATTTTTTTCCTAGGCCCAGCTGAGGCGCCCTAATGAACATTACACAGCAGGGGAAAGGGCACACCTTAAAGACGTGCTTAAAGAGCACTCGGCTCTTGCGAACAAACAAGCATGCTCTTGCGAACAAACAGGCATGCTTTAAGGAGAGACAGCACGCGGCACTGCTGAGCACACTGTTTTACAGGTTAGCCAAAAAAGAAAAGCATTTGCTTTAACACAGCCAAAACGTAAGAGGAGGAAACGGGCCCCATGTGAATCAAACAGATGAGGAATTAGGGTCTGGACCCCTTCACCTCACAGCACCCTAAGCTACAAAATAGGCTTGGTCTATTTTTACATCAGCCTCTTCACCAAAACTCAGTGATGGCAGGCAGGCACCGGTCCACGCGCCTACCATGGAAATGCACCTAAAGTATGTTCAAGTCCAATATGAACACTTCAAAAGTGTTTTTTTTTTTTTTTTAGCACTCAATGTCCTTTTTCCTCTGCTTTCCGATAGCTCGCTCCCCGGGAAGAAAAATAGGTACGCCCAGCCAAAGCAGAGCCAGGAGACAGAGCTGCTTCCCTACATGTTCAGCCCAACAGCAGGTCAAAGAAAAACATGAATTCACAGTGGCAAATAAATCTGAGAAAAGACTTTGGCTGGATGAATGTCTCTGGGGCTGTCGGTCTCAGAATGAGCAAGGAAAAAGCATTTAGGCTCAAGTTACATGGGCGCTGTTCCCATTAATAAGGCAGTCACATTTGTCTCCCTCTCCAACAACTCCATAAATTAGCACTAAGGAGAAGGAGGAGTAGAAAGAGGAAAGAAGAGAGTATTGTATCATCACTGTAACACTCAATTACATGCACAGCAAGATGCTTCGGAAACCTCACGCAATTACAACGTGAGGCACATCGCTTCAAACACCCTTTAGCAAGAGCAGTCCCAGCGATTGCAAAGCAGCCAATTAGTTGCTTTGATTGGGGTTTTACATAAACAAAACTTGATCTGCAAGAAGAGCAGCTCATACACCTGTAACAGTGCCATTTTCGGTCTGAACAATATGCTCAAAATGACACTGATACTTCAAACTTTGTCCTACAGTATATAATTAAAATGCAACCGACTACACAGCTGGTTCTATTCTTTGTTCTGAATCTCTCTAAATTATTATTTACATGCTACCATAAGTATAAATCTCTGCCTGGAACTAAAAGCCATTCGCTTTTCTGCTCTTCAGCCAGTATCTAACTTGCAGATTACGAGTACTCCCTAGTACCGCGGCTTGCTTGTGTCCAAAAACTCACATATTCCTTTCACCTCACAAAGAAAGGGGATGTTTCCAGTGAATAAGTCTGTTCTCTCTTGGGTGCATGACTGTACCACAGCTCCCGTTACCTCTAGGAGAGGTTCATAAGGATGCTTAAGGGAACCTTAAGGGACCTCTTAGTCTTCTGCCCAGACTCCTCATCTCCGTCAATATGAGGAACGAAAGCACCAGCACCACATCGCCCAAGGCAGAGATGCAGCTGAGGAAGACGTCTCCAGGTGAAGGATGCTTTGATAAGCCAAGAGGAATAAGCAATTGGAAACAGGCAAGACGACACAGATGCAAGAATATTTTATCCCTCTGCTGCTACTACACAACTCAAACCTGAACAAGGACGGTCAGCTCTGCGGCACCTCAGCTGGCACTTGGCTGGGTTGAGGCAAGACAGTTTTCCAACTAAAAACCAAAGCAAGCGCTAAAATGAGAACAAGTTGCTGTCAGAAAGGTAGGTTGACTCTCAGCTTCATTCTTTACCGAAGGGACCGCCAAGGCCTACTTATTTTGTAGTCTCCTCACATTATCCTCTCACCTGGACATTACTGCTACCCTGATAGCCAGAGTTAGATTTAGGCAGTCCCAAGATGTCTTTAAGCAGACAGCCAAACAAGAACCTCTGGTTTTTTTCAGGTTAAATGGAGCAAACTGCTTGTCAAGTATTAGTAGACCATGACAATGAGGTCCCAGGAGAAGACTATAAAGTCCATTACACTACCCAACATCTGCTGTTTCAGTCTATTCGGACCACAGCACACAGATGTCCAGGTGCAGCACGGACATCTGCACATTATGTAAAAAGTAGTTTCACTCTGCCGCAGGTCAGAGTGAAAGATGAGCAGTGCACAAGGCAAAGAGCTATCAATATTCCACCCTTCGCTCGGCATACACATTCACCGTTTCGCGTGGCAAGGCCCTAAAAGCACGTGTGATGCTTTTAGGCACGGTATCCCCAACACCGATTGCGGTTTTTAACAACCTAGTGCCGCAACCGTGTCAGTAACATCATAATGTGTTGCAACTCCAGCCCTCGGTGCCGAGGCACGACAGGACAGAAAGTCGAGGTCAGCAAACTGTTTGGCTTTGAATCTTTTGTCCCACCTGATGGGAACTGAATGCAGAGTGCTCAGGAACAGAGAAACTATTAGCAAAAACAGTGCGAGATTCAGCATTTCTTCCCTAAAACGAAGTCATGTTATGTAAAGCCAAAGGGATGAATGAGATAGCTTGACAGGATAAAGCGATGAAAGTGGGCTGATGGAAAATAGACCATCACAAACCACAGGGAGAAATATTTGACATTTTGTAAAGAATACATGTACTCTTTTTCTTTGTTTTTAAATAGTGAAAAGCAGATATTGGGGGTGGGGTGGGGAAACAAGTGTTCACAACATGCTTCATAGCTTTATGCATCAAAAGCAACTGCCAAAATACTACCTTCCAATTGCCTGTTTTCAAGCAAAACCTTGCTCTGCTGCCTGGGAAACCAGAACATTTCTGCACCACTGATGACAGGGACCCCATATATTTGATCACCTTCTTTCTTTAGCTTTTCCTACTAAATGCAAAACAAGCCAGGAAACAGCACACATTCAGCCCTTACCGAGTTTATACAAGGCTTTAAATGCAAATTTCCATGTCAAGACTTCCTGGAAATGCCTGATGGCACATGTCAGGTCTATCATTCAGCCACGAAGGGATCAGAGGACAACTTCCTTTGGAAAGGGGGAAGTTTGTATTCTCAGGACATTCTGATGCAAACGAGGTGCAAATATTGCATTGTGTGTCCACAGTAATATAATGAGGAATTTAATTAAATCACAGTTACCGGCACCAAGAGGTTAACGGGCACATGAGCTATTAACGCTGGGGTCAGGGCTACCTGATTTGCACAAAGGGCAGGATGCTACACCGGCAGACCAAACTATCAGAGGCTGCTCAGCATATTATCAGCATGCGTCAGGACAACACAAACATCCCCAACGGTCACGCACCACTGTAGAAAGGACCTAGAGTTCAAAACAGGGGAATGAAGTAAAGGCATTTGAAGGGGGTGGAAATGTATGCTAAAGAAGCAGAAAAAAAAAAATCATAAGAGTGTTTCCTTCCTTTAGGAGTCTGGAGGCAACTCTGGAAGGGAAAAGGTCAAGCAAGTTTCCCCTTAAAAGGCATAACTCCTGGGGCTCTCATATAGTCATATAAAAAAAAAAATCTAGGAAGTACTAGTATTACGTATAATTCCCTTCCCTGCCAGCATGGAAAGAAGTAGTATTTTAACTCTAAACATTAAGCCCCCTTAGGAAAAAAAAAAAAATCTTATTTGCTCTCATGATGTGAACAACGCTGCAATGCTACCAAAAAAACTCAAAAAAGATTACGTCATTTAACTTAGGCCTACATGCAGCTAATAACTCAAGGACTCTACGCTGAAAAAAAGCTATCGAATAATATATATTCAGTTGTCAAACGTGCTCACCTTTCCATCATAACGTTTCACGATAAACTGATCCAGGCCCAGGTCTGAAAGAGAAAAGAAAGATAGTTTTAAAAAAAATGCTTTTAGAATATAAGAGTTAAATTTCCTGGGACTGTTGCTTGAGTGGGGATTAGAAAGTCAAAAGTATTATCTGAACAATAACATCGCTAGAAAGTACAACGAGAGAGAGAAGGAAAAAAATTAACTTCTTCCATTTTATATATTGCATTTTATCATGAAAGGCACCCAACTCATAGCATAAGAAACGAAAATCTCCTTCCAGCAGGGTCTATAGCAGCGTAATACTCAGCATGTCTCATTAGTGGATCTGAAACACCTGCCCTGGTGGAAAAACAAAAAATTGCTCCCAAAATTAATTGGGAAGTCTCCAAATTAATCCCAAAAGCTTGCTCATATTTTAATATAAAAGTGCTTGCAAATAGTCAAATTTTAAAGTTGTAGCTGCATGCATAAGCAGGCGAGTGCTTTAGCTGGAAAGGTACTTGGGGAGAAGGCATGGAGAGAGGTTATTTATATTACTAAGTTTTATCTCCCATACCATCACAAAACAATTTTGCTATCCCTGAGAGATAACCCCCCCGCCCTCAGCATTTGCAGAGTTAAGGAACAAAGCTCTCAACCTAATCAGCAATGCCCAGAACGCTCTACATACACCGATGAATGCACAGATAGGCAAGATGACAAAAATATTCAGAAAGATTAATTATTTGCGCTTTGCAATACAAAGCCAGAAAGATGCTTTCTGAAAGGACATAAACCAGAACTCAAACTGAGCTCTTCCAATAACTCCGGAGAGCAGGGGCCAATTTTTGACTCTCCGAAGAATAAAAAGCCCCCAAACAGCTACAACCCATGCATTTTCTGCCACTGCTTATGATAATTACCACATCCTCATTTCAATCTCAATTAGCAAAAAGATGCAAAAACCAAATGAAACCTCTCCAGCTGCATTCAGAAGGGTGACAAACAGGCTGCTGCATTATCCGATTGCCAAGGAAAAGAATAAAGCACTTCCTAGCTATTCAAAGGGTTTCTAATGGTTACGGGGCAGAAAAAGGAGTTATCCATCACTGCAGGATGACCTCCTGGACCTTTCTGAACCAAAGCAGTTGAAACTCCTCTACCATCATTCTCGGAGGTCGAGAGCATTGTCAGAGGGCTTTCTGGATTCATGCAGAAAGTGAGAAAGCGCCTTCTCAATATCTTGCGTTCCTGACAAGAGTGTGAAGAGTGCATATTTATACTTGCTTTCAGAATTTAATCTTCTTTCCTTCTGAAGAATTTTGTCCCTCCTCAAAGTTGTGGGCATAACACAGCAAGATAAGCATTGTGGCATTCAGAGGAAGGATTTGTTCAATTAATGTGTTTATTTTGCCGGAGACCCGTGATCCGGTCTGAGCTGACACCTGAGCATCCATATGGAGACTGACCGCTTAGCTTTATGCGTTTGTGTGTTGTAAGAAGGTCAGGCTCAAGCACACCTCGTATTCCCACGCCAGAAAACAGTGCTGCAAGACATAACCCTGACAGCCCTGCATTATACACATACCCCTAGAAAGCTAACAAAGGCCATGGGTTAAAAATAGCAAGTGAAAATATGTCTTAATGGCAAAACCCCTCTACCTGGACACTAGCACTAGGAAAACAAATGGGTTTCAAGCAAGACCCAAAACGAGCAGATGCTTGTGCCAACGAACTGATACAGACTCCCATAGAGAAACACATATATAACAAGCTATTAAAAACAGCCAAGTGACACCTAAAAAGACAGAACACCAGTATCTATCCTAAAGGAAAAAGCTAAATATTATCAACTTCATGCTTTCCACATGCGGTGGGAAAAAGGGGAGGTGAAGAGGGCTATGACTGGAGGAGACTAAAAGGGACCAAGGGAGTCAACAGTAGCAGACTGATGTTAAAAAAAAAAAAAGTGATGGAGGACACGTTTTCAACACAGGAGAATTTTTCTCTGGGCTGGGGTTTGATCCAGCCTCACTCACTCAAGCGTGGAGATGCTTCTTCATGTTTTTCCTCAAATGCTATTGTATGTAACCAAAAGGCAAGGGAAGACAAAACATCCAGGTAACCCGAGATTATTCCTGCAAGGGACAGAGCAATGGACCGGGACGTACTTCTGTAGCTTTTTTGTAACCGCATCTGAACGTTCATCCTAGATGGAGAAGCTGCCAGGCCTAGCCAAGCTTAAGAGCTTAGAGCATTTCACTATTTGCTGAAGAAATTGCTTACAACCGCAGCCGTTGCTACAGAAATGTTTCCATCATTACCTTAAATTTCAGAAATATCAAGTTATGTCAGACTCCTTCAACACAACCATACTGAAGAGAAGCAAATAAATAATCTTGCTTTACACGTGTCTCAGAGAGGGAGTGAAGCAATTATGAAAATGCAGCACAAAAAACTGTCACATCTTTCGCTCCCTTTTTTCCTGTCACTGTATCAGCATGTGCTGATAAACAGCCTCACGTACTAAAGTATTGCAAGCGCAAGTGCACTGATTCACATCAGCATTTAACGTTCAGCCTCTCCCCCAGAGTTATGCACGTTGTTACCCCATCTTCTTTGCTGCATTAACTAAGCTGTGCACTTAAGTCTATCGACAAAATTTCCCTTACAATAGCCCCCAATAGAATAGGCTAATTCAAAAACCGTGAAAGTTAAGCCAAAAAGGCATTTGCATGTTCTAGGCATGCAAGATTTTACTCAGTACATTTTACTTTTGCCAGTACAGTTTGTTTTTTTAATGGACTTATCTACATATTTTTCCCATGAGACTTTAATCTTAAAAGGTGACAAAAGGAAACAAAGAAGAGACTGTGGCCTGATGCTTGTGTTTTTCTTCCTTTGCATTACAATAAAAGAGCCAAAAGGATTTTCCTCAACGATTTCTGCAACAGGATCGCAGGGTTTGCGTGGGCAGGAGAGCTGACGCGAGAACCAGCAAAATGGAAACGCTGCAAGCATCAAGGCAACCCAGTCTCAGCAAGGAACGGAAGAGAAGGTTAGTTATTACATTTTTGTTATTCAAAAGGGTGCGTGCGAGGTTAAAGCTAGCACAGGATTGTCTGTAAACCATCCCCAGACTCAACACACAAAACGGATTCCCAAAAGCTGAGCTAGTACCAAAGAGCTCCAGGAACACAAGGTAACAGGCAGGTTTGAACAGTAAAAAGAGCTTTTCCACCTTTCAGGACGAAGCAGGGGCTGACATGCTATCCTCGCAGAAGCGGATTAAAGCATTTCCTCCAAGAAATACCACAGCGAAAACGAGAAATGGTGTCAGGAGGACAGACAGCAACGGTGTCGCTTCACGGGCCTCCTGGGGACCGCTGTGCATCGCGAGCGGCTCAGCTGCAGGGCTCATTTCGTTCCGGACGAGCGCCTACGCCGGCTGCAGAAAGCGCACTAGCGGGGCGAGGATTTGTATGCGGGCAAAGAGCCTTCACAGCAAGTCATTCGGCTGAAGTAACGGATTTCAATCCTAGAGAAGAAAAATGAAAGCAGAAAAAAACGCCCCACTCCTTAGCTTCTCCTTTCTGAAGGATACAATGCCGCTTGGACGCAAGCCCGGCACAAACCACTTCTACGAGCTCTCTGCGATTTCCCGTGCAAAACCATGCCGTGACAAGGTGCAGGCCTCAGCTTTCCCCTGACGAAGCTTTCCTCATCTTCACCTCGCTGCAGGTTCTTCAGCCTCCCAAAGGCAAGCGCACAGAGCTCTCGTCTGCCCTGTCCCAGCCCACGTCCCCTTCTACTCTTCTCGCCTTTCACTGCCTACCTGGGGATTATCAAAGCTCTGCCCAACCAAGAGCCATGCTCTGCACCAGCCATTCACCTTCAGCAGCACGAACGATGACCTGCGATGATTCCCCCACATGCTTGTCAGAGCCAGCTCAGCTGTGAACTTTAAATACTGCTGTTCATTCTCATACTAGCTGAAGCATGACCACGGGAGCAAAAGGGAGCAGCACTGCTGCAAAACAGCCAAGGAAGACGTGGCACCACCGTTAAGCGTTATTTCAGATTAGACTGACGTTGCTCAATCACAAAACACTAAGAACAGAGGCCTCCGTTCTTATTCACGGGAAGATGCTCTCACAGCACTCCAAAAATAAGAATGTTTTAAAATAAATCCAAATGACTTATACTCACTGCCTGCCATGCTAGGGAAAAGAGGCAATTGGAGAGAGACCTATATTCTATTTGTTTACTCCCTTCTTTTGGGGAGGAAGGATGTCCACAGGCAAGGAAATACTTACGCAAAGGAAGAAAAAACCCACACAAAATCAACCTGCTGCTACTCTTGTTCAGCTTTCCTTAAAACTAAAGGTAATTCTAATGATTAATGAAACGTATGTGCTACAGGTCCACTCAAAGCTAGCTAATTACTACACTGGATAAATATCTAAACAATCATTAAGCTCTTCATGTTATCCTGGAAAATAAAGCCACGGGCAGCAGATTATAGCCTGCACTTTCAGCTTGCGGTTGTAAAAATATTTAACAAACAAGCTTCCCAGAGAACGATTATATTATGGGAAGAAAACAGTTGAGATCAATGAGAACACGTAATGACTTCCTCCAGGATGTCAACAATTTTCCACTGAGATGGAATGACTTTTTAAACTCCCCTCAGACATGATATCCTTGTTAGATTTTTCACATTATTTGGGTAACATTTACTTATTATCTCCCTTTCTTTTCCAACTGCTTGATATACAACACGGACTCCTTTCTTGCAAGTAGATGAGCAAAAGGACTAATTACTGAGATGGAGGAAAAGCCTGCTAACAATGAACACTGCATTCTGGGAGCAGGAAAAATGGGATTGAGATCGCCCATCCAAATTCGTAATCCAGGTTCTAAATTTGTATGAAAAACTACTTAATCTCCAAGTAAACAACGAGCTTCCTGAGATTTCTCAAGTGACAACGTTCTCCAGTTTGTGTTGGAGTTATGCCCTTTGAGGGACTGTTTTGCTCAAGTCTAGCTTCCCCCTCCTCCA